TAATCTGTAGGACTATGCTTTGGTGGCTTTTGCTTGTTGGCTTCAAGAGCCAGAAATCAGGCATTTTGTACATATAAATATATATAAATATTTTTGCTTACTTATGGAATGTTTGTGCATGTTTAGGACACCAGTTCAAAATGATGAGGGACGGTTAAGGCTAAGAAAATGAAATTCATTGCAAAGCTATCATTTTGTCTTCATTTTTTTCTCCTTTACAAAGTGGCTTTTGCTTGTTGGCTTCAAGAGCCAGAAATCAGGCATTTTGTACATATAAATATATATAAATATTTTTGCTTACTTATGGAATGTTTGTGCATGTTTAGGACACCAGTTCAAAATGATGAGGGACGGTTAAGGCTAAGAAAATGAAATTCATTGCAAAGCTATCATTTTGTCTTCATTTTTTTCTCCTTTACAAAGGAGGCTAAAGCATCTTCCCTGTAATAGTCAGCCACTGTGTAATCCCCCATCAACACCACTTCTAGGGAAAACTACTCAGGACCCAGTCCCTGAGGCAAAAAGCTAGGACCTCATGATTTGAGCTCAAATAATCCACACAATTAACAGCATACATTAGTGGAAAATTAAATATTCCAAGGCCTCACCTGAAAAAGAAAAGGCATTTTCTGCATGGGATGTGCTAGATCCAGGCCTTTAGACATACATAGCAATGCAACAATTGGCCAACAGCTCCAGATCTATCCCAGGGGCCTTCAACATTGCTGGAGAGTGCTCTGCCTACTCCTCAGAAATGCCAAGGGGGCTCCAAGGTGGTCTTGCAAACCACCTCATCTCTTCTGGGTGCATGGGTACCCTGAAATGCTCTGGTGTGGCAGAGGAGTGCAAGGAAGCTGGGCTCCCAGCAGCTACTGTTCACTCAAGACATCCCAGCAGTAAAGTTCCAGCCAGACCTTTACTTACTGCCCTGATTTTGACTACTATATAAATTTATGGGGCATACATAATGAACCAGTAGCTACTCTTCTTGATGCAGGTAGCAATAAGAAAACCATTTGCCTTTTGGTACCTCTGTGAAATTTCCTGAAAAAAGAAAACTGTGGGCTTATATTGCTGAACATCTGTTTTTCATGCTCCACACTAGCTCCTCTCTCCCTTTGAATACTTACAAGACTGACAAGAACCAGCTATCCCACACTCAGTCTGAAGACAGATGATCTCACTTCTCTGCGGGGCCAAGCAGTTTTGAACTCCTCCTTGGGTTCCTATGCAACTTGGCATTGCCAAGGACTAGAGTGGTACAAACCTTCTCCTTCCTTTTGAGGCTAGGAGAGCCCAGTGCACAAGGTTTTGTCCTTTCTCCCATGTTTCCAGGTGGAGACCTTGGAATCCCACTGCTGTACACTGTGCAGCTGGCAGGTGGAGCAGGACTTGTGGGAGTGTCTCCAGGCTGTATCGCAAGCAGAACCACCAGAGAGTTGGCCATCCCCTTACTCTCCTTGCAACCAGGTGAGATCTGCCTCTAAGTCTACCGCAGAAAATAATACTTTGGTGGGAACAGAAAGGTGTCAGTGCAAGGATGCTATATGGGCTAGTCATTAATTTACTAACCCCTGCCGGATTCTTCCTCAGTGATGATTTACATGCTATACATTTGCATATTGCATAATGATGAAATCTGAGTTTTCAAATTCATGTTGGTTAACCTCTATTGCCTCTTGTCAGATAGACACATATAACCTAGAGAGGTTTACACCAATCAATCCATCAATCACACCACTCCCCTTGAATCAACTCAAGTCATTCTTCAGTAAAATTCTTCAGGTTTGGGGACCTAAAACCAGCTGGTCCTCTAAGCAGCATGATTTCTGCCCTGCAGGTTAATGCCATTCTCTTTGTGGCCATCACTGCTAACCCTCAGAATATAGAGTTTTTTGCTGATTGAGTTGTGGACTGAAATCAATAAAGAGTAGAGGGCAGGACAGTATTTCACCTCAGTATCGATTCTGCCCTCTTTCAATCATACCTCTCTCTCTGCATTGTTTTCTGAAGCTTCAGTGGCCTTCAGATTCCACCAGCACCAAAACATGGCGTTTCAGCCTCGGCCACCAGCTCACAACAATGCTCATCCTCTACAGTGTTACTCAGAGGAGAAGAACGCTTTGGGCTTGCTCTGTTTTAGGGAGGTGTAAGGTCTGGTTGCAACTGGACTTCCTTTTTGTAAAACACAATGCTACGTTATTTCGCTAAACATGTAATCTGCTTAATTACAACTACTGTGACAAGCCCTGAATTCTAACAAGAAGAATTCCTACAGAACACCCCACAGTGATAATGGGAAACACACGGCTATTAGTGACTACTTTTTTTCCTGCCAACTGTGTGCCAAATTAAGTCTAAAGTGGACTGAAAAAGTCTTGACAGTTACAAAAGAAAAAGCAAGAAACTGTTGTTACTAAAACCTTACCAGTCCATTACATTAGCTTTTTAAGCGACATCTAAGATACATGTGAAATCAAGAGAAAATACAGTTGTTATACTCTGATTTCTCACCTGTACACTGACCGTGGCAGTTAAGATGTGAGGCAGTATTACTTACGGGTTTACTCACTGTTAATACTTCCAGTATTAATCACTCTTGTGTACAAAATGTTAAAAAAGAAAATCAATGTAATGAATTTTCATTTTAAATTCACTAATGTATTTGGTTTCTTCTAATTTTTCTGTGTTCTAACTGGGATCAAATTGCCTTACATTACATTAATAAAAACAAAGGGAAGAAAAAAACACAGAAAAAAATCTTGACCGGTCCTCAGTTCCTGGCTGCCTGCCTGTGAAGGTTTTGTTTGACAAAATGGTTCCTTCAGTGTTCAGGTATCTGAACTGCTTCGCTTATCACACCGGCAGGACAGCAGCAATGCCTTAGGAGATGGCAGCACTCTCAGCCACAGACCATGGTGCAGACTGATGTCACTTGTCCCAGAATTTAGTAACTCCAAGTAAGGTACAGAGTTTTCTGTAACACCCACCTAGGACTGCTGAGCTTTGCCAGCTTATGTCAAGCTCTTGGCACAAGAGGAACTTTACAAGGATGACCCTGTTCAACAAATAGTACTGAGATGACGACTAACTTAAGTCTATTTTGGGTGTACAGATTTCCACAGGGCATTCACATAGACAATTTTGTGTCAGCTTTTCCAGTGGCACTTTCTGCACAACATGTTTACATCCAGTTGCTACTAGGAACAAAGTTTTCACCTCTCTAGTGGCATCACTTGGCATTTTTGGATGACAGCACTGGTGGTGACATGAGTTCCTTGCTTTGCTGTTCCAGGTGTGGTATCTTCTGCTTACCCTCCAGCCCCTGCCTATGCCACCAAAAACAATGCATCAGTGGGAGGGTGAGGTGTCTTCCAAGCCCAGAAGCTCTTTTACAAGTCTTTCACCAAACTGTGCACGGCTATACCTTGTCACATGGTAGGCCTCTGACATTTTGTAGAGGATGTAAGCATTATTTATAGCGATGCTGATGGCAAACCAGAATACTTGTTGCCAGGTCTTGTTTGGTTTGTGAGAAATGAAATACCTAAAGAGCCAAGAGAGGAGGGAAAAGTGCTGTTTAGACAAACAATTGCAGCTAGGACGCAAGAAATAACCCCAAAGATTCTGCAGTCCCAAAGGAGAAGCAGCCCTGGAACTTACTTCAACTAGGCATTGTCATCTTAAGAAATTTTGTACAATGTATTTGACAGTCATTTGGAGCTAATTTGCACAATTTTGGAAATATCTAGTAGTGTCTAAAAGAACAGACTTCCTTGCTCTCAGAAGCAAAACCTCGTCAACACTCTGACCACTGTACCACTCCATATAAATAAGAGACAAAGATTCCTTGAGCTTACCCATGACAAACATCCACATGATGGGAGCTGTGGGTCTAAATCTCTTCAATTTGTAACTAAAAAAAAGCCTCAGGCACATTACATTGCAGTTTTAGGAATATTGCTGATGCTTCTCCTCCTGTTTATCTCTATTGCAAGCAAAGAATGATTTCTGCTGCTGTCAACAGTAGGTGGGAGGATGTGGGGGTAGAGCCTGAGCGCACAGCGCTGGTATGTGGAGCACTGCTCCATGAGGCAGAACTAGAAAGGACTGACATCCTTATATTTAGGTTCTGACTAATTCTAGGACTGCAGGAATATTTGCTCTTCAGTCATAAGATTTCCCATTTTCCTACTTTCATGCTTCCATTTTTTTAGTATCCATTTAAATCTACTACCTCAGCTCTGTTTCTGATGTGATTTCCTCAGATCAGATCCCAGCATCGGTCTCCAGCCACCACCTCCTCATCTTTCATATATTCTACTGAATACTTGCTGCCTTGCCAAGATTTGGCTTGAAAAATCTGTGCTGCTTTTTCTCTCCTAAATTTTAAGTGTTTGAAATCATCTGCACCTCATCACTATTCCCCCATCCAAGCTTCACCACTGCTATTCTTACTCATTTCTCTCTCTCCCTGCTATATTAAGAGCTAACACTGAGGATGCTTACTGGAATTCAGGAGCCAAAAGATCTACATTCTGCTCTCGCAGATCATGTAGATCAGCTTTACATGCACAACTGAATGTCTTTTTTCTTCTGGCTTCAGGTGAAATAAATACCACCAGGACAGATAGTCACCTAAACACCATCTGCTAACAGGGGTGGAGAGCTGAGCTAGCCTGAGACACCTGTGGAGCTGGTAGACCCTTGCTGAATTCTCTGTTTAGCCTTCAATTTGATGTGGCCAAGAACATCAGCCTGCTGGCTTATCCTCCCAACACTTCTTAAAAGTCATTTACAAGATGCTAAGGACCTAAGCCTCAATATTTTTTTTGACTGGTGGATGAGTAGACAGAGCCAAAACAACACTAGCAGTGCAGCTCTTGCCCTTGTGCAGAGCCAGCTTCTGATTTTTGCCTGCAACAGGAGTTTTGTCAGAGACTCAGTGAAAGCAGGATTGGGCCCTCAGCTGCAGCTCAACATGGACAACTCAAACATTGCAGCAAAAGAGGAGTGAAAGAAATACACATACACATGGTCTTACTTACTTGCTGTACTTGTCATCATATTTGCAGATATAGCTAAGGTGAGCAGCAAAGGCTTCAACCGCCAATGGGCATGGAATTTCTCCACTTTTTCTCTTAATTATAACTCCTGCATCAATTAGAAACATGACAATCTTAAATTAACATTGCAAGCCTAGCAATTAAAGACAGGCTTATAGAGTTTATTATAAAATAGACCTTATGGACAGTTTTTGCACTAAAACTGAGAAGTTATCAGTAACAGAGATGCCAATTTGTGGGGGTTTCCCCACTGGTAGTACATTAAGCAAGTGGAAGAGGAAGAAGTGGGATAATTTTTCATTTGGAAATGAAAAGATGTTGGCACAAACTTCTTCTGTATGTTCAGAAAAAAGCCCACATTGCTGTAGTCCCACAGTAGCTCCCCACAGACAGTATTAGTCTCTCCTCTTTTGGTTCACAGTAAGTTGTGGTCACCTCTAGAGTGGTGACTTGCTGCAATAAGCTTTGAGTTCTGAAGACCCCAAATGAGTCCCCTTGAAATTAAATCCTTTGCTTATCTCCACCCACAGCGGCTCAGAGCAACATTACCTCCACTTCACTTGGTGCTAATTGACACAGGAAAGAAAATACAAGAAGGAGCCAACTTGATAAACTCAGATAAGACAGAGGTGATACCAGCTGTACCAGCTGGGTGAGTTGATGGAGCCACAATCACAGTATCTTGGAAATGAAAAGCAGCCT